GAAAAGAGAATTGTGCTTTTACCATAAAGATGATTTGTGTGTGTGTTTCTTCTTTGCTCTATAAAATGGGGGGTGGGGGAATTCTCAGGTTCTTCTGTCACCAGTTGTGGCCATGGTCATCACAGGAATAAAGTAGCAAATGCTGTGAGCCTGAATTTAAGCACTTGAATGAGGCGCTCAGGCTATCACTCCCATGGGTTTCTGCAGATAAAGTACAAAGGAGGGGCCCATTTAGAGTGTCCTGAGACCAGGGTTATATTAAGACATGACTGTTAGCGGTTTAGGGCTTGGTGTCTGCATCTGTAGTTCTAGGCTGAAGCAGGTGGATCATTTGGGCTCTGGAGTTCAGGCCAATCTGACGTAACATAGGGAGACCCCATTCCAAAAACAAAAAATGAAAGTTTAGAGTCCATGAGAAATGTTCAGTGGCAATTATGTGCTGCCTTAAAAAGGGTAAACAGAAAAACTTCCTAAGTGTTTTTTTAATTAGAAGGGTATAAGGTTTGGAGTTCTTATGTAACATTATGTGTCAGGTGTGTTGGTTGGGTGCACAGCAGTGCAATGTGGTGAGTCCTGGGATTTCCTGTTAACCTCTAGGTGACCTGAGTTCTACACAGGATAAAATCTGGTGACAAACTCCCTTTGATCCCATTTCAGAGTTGGGAGACATCCTTCTTCAGTGACTACTTGATCAAAGAACAGAAGCACCTGTGGTGGGAAAGCTGGGCTGATGGGAATGGGGTGAGGGGACTTTGGAGAAGAAAAGAGTGAGAATGCTCTCTGCCACCAGATAGAAGTCACATCCCAGTTCCATGGGTCTTTACAATCTCCAAGCCTTGCTGGCCCTGGAGATGACTTAAGAAAGATGTGAGGTACTTCATTTGCAAAGCCAGCCCCAATTGGCAACTGACCTCTCCTTTCAGCCATGAGGGGTTGGGCATTCAGGGCTTAATGAATCTGGGTTGAGTGGCTAGTAAATGAACAGTTTATAGTTTAGTCCTAAGTTCTTGTACTTATGGCAACCACAGTGGTACTGTGGGGTACATTGAGAACAGGTCCCAAGTGTCCTGCCTCCCCTCAGATCAGGAGAATTCCCATGTACACATTGTGGTCTTGGGTTTTCTGATATGTAATTTAGACTTTTTTTCTGTGGTTTAAACAAAGTCTTTCATCTTTTAAAATTATAAACACTTTTAAATGGAGTAGAAAAGTTGAGAGAATAAGTTACCTGCATATGTAACCACCTCGATTGAACAGTTGTAAATGTTTTATTAGTTTATCTCCATATGTATATATTTGATTTTTCTCTGAAGTTTCTGAAAGTACATAACAGACTTTCTGAAAAAGTAAAGTACATTGTAGACATGAACCTCACTGCTAAATACTTTTAACATGCATCTGAGTGTGCAAACGAGGCAAAAATTTTAGTTGTTCATTTTTTTGGCATGGTTGTAGGGTTTTATGGGGAAGTCCTAGGCACTGGGAAAGCAGCTATGTAGATGACAAGCCTCAGTCAGCAAATAACTTGGCTGACTGACAACACTTACTCATGCATTAGACCTACTTCCTTATTTCTAGCCTCAGTTTAGAATAATAAAAAAGGGTATGCCTGGGTGCCTATAATCCTAGCTACTCATGAGGCTAAGGCAGGAATATGGCAAGTTTGAAGTCAGCTTTGGCAATTTAGTGAGACCTTGTCTCAAAATAAAATAAAAAGAGGGGCTAGCRATAAAATTTCAGTGATAGAATAATTGCTGCACATGACCCTGGATTTAATCCCCAGTACCTCAAAAAAAAAGAAAAAGAAAAGAAAAGAAAGTATGCTGCAGTATTTTAGTTTAGTTAATGAAAAGGAGTAAAGACAGATCAGCCATCCATCTTAAGTAGTAAGATAAGATGCTGGGAAGTGCCTTGAAGGTCTCAAGGACATTCAAGGTGTGGGAAAGTAAACTTGCCAGGGAATTTTTGTGTTTTTTTTTTCCCCCCAGAAATTCATTTGTTAACTATTTTTGAAATCCAGTTCTCCTTCCAGTCCCCCACCTGGATCCCTATTGGCTTGAGCACAGAATACTCCTCTGTTCCATGGTGTATGTGACCATGAACAATATTGGACACGTTCTGCACATGTTAAATTTTATATAAATATTATAGCTTTATTATTCTCATCTGCTTTTAAAAAAAGCTGCTATTAACTCCTGCATACAGTTGTTAAATGAGAATATGTTTGTAAATACCTAGTCCTGCATAGGCAGAGAGTAGAGATTTTATAGGTCCATTTTACTTCATACCTGATAAGTGTTGAGAAAACATACACATTTAAATGGGCAGATAGTCAACCCCCAGTCAAGTGGTGCTATGGAAAGCTTTCTACTAGGCTTGCTCAGCCTAAAATCACTTTTTCTTTATCCCCCCGAAGGCCCCCTGAATGGGCCCTCAAGGAACTGCTGGAGGGGTTTTGTATAGGCCAGGAGACATCCTAGATGTTGTACAGTCTAGTGGGGCTGCCAGGAAACTGGAAGAGCATTGTGAAGGACCGGGATAATATTTATTCTTGTCTGGGCTCCTACCTGGAATCTGGGAGACTGATGACCTACCTTCCTGTGGCTCCTTGTTCTAGCCTCAGATACCATCACTAGTGTTCCTGGGAGGGCCTCTCCTGGTACCCAAGGAATGAGAATTAGCTGAGAGCACCTGCCAGTCCCTCAGCCACCTTTAGCCCCTGGCACAGGGCAATGAGTACAAAAATTAATCTAGCAGGGGCCTAGCAGAGAGTATCACCCCCTACCCCTCAACCCACCTTTCTTTTTTTTTTTTTTTTAAATATTTATTTTTTAGGTGTAGTTGGACACAGTGCCTTTATTTTATTTACTTATTTTTATGTGGTGCTGAGGATCGAACCCAGGGCCTCGCACATGCTAGRTGAGTGCTCTTACCACTGAGCTACAACCCCAGCCCCTCAACCCTGCCTTTCATTTGCATGTGCTGGCAACCAAATGGCCCTGGAGTTTGCAAAGCCCTCCAGTGGCGCTAGATGGCAGTCATGCTTAGAAGAGTCCAAGAGGGTGGAAAGAGTGGAAATTAGGGACTCAGTGGTCTCAAGGACCTTCAAGGTATGGGAAAGTAAACTTGCCAGGGAATTTTTGTGTTTTTTTGCCCCCAGAAATTCAATTGTTATCTATTGTTTGAAATCCATACGTTATTTCCCTACTGAAAAGATAGGTGGTGGGGGTCTAGTTGGAAAATGGGGAGGGCTGATCTCTGAGCAGCTTGGTAGGTTGGCTTATTGGTTTTCTAAATATCTTAGAGGCATAGACTGGTTGAAAAGGTACACTSATGGATACAGTACATCCCAGTTGGCTTTTCTACAGGGGAGAGACTGCTCAGCACAAAGAGTGTCAGTCATGCTCAGAGGTTTCAATCCACAGACCTTTTCCTTGTCTGACTTGGGCTTGGTTCCATTTTGTACATAGGGAACCTGAGCTTTCTGGCCTGYAAGTACTAGAGGATTTGGGGAGTCAGAATGGTCTTGTAGGATCTTTCCAGTCCTGGAATTTGGTTGTGCTTGGATCCTGTCAGTATCTTTCTGTGCCTAATTCCTTTTTATCCCATTTCATATGATATTTGCCTGGAGCTCAGAGGTGAGAAGGGCCCTGGGTCTCAGAAAATGTTGGTATTATATAGTGGAATCTGCTGTGGGCACAGGCCAGGGAAACAGGAGAGACAGCCTGTGTGTAAGGTATTTACCAGCTCTATACCAAAACCTCAAGCTCCTTAGGGCTAGAACTGTGTTATGCTCACCCTGCCTCCCAATTCCTATTGTTGCTTTGTAGATGCAGAATATTAAGGAGGTCCTTCTGAGTTTGACCCCCTGCATGTCTTTCCTACTTCTGCTGTAGCCCAGGTCTGTAGCTTATGCAGGACTTGGTCAGGTTGAATCTAGGTGAGGAGGACAGATAGGTGGAGYTATGTCTGTACACTGTCATTGTGTCCTGTTCCAGGCACCCTTGTCCCATCCATCCCGTCTCTCCACAAACCCTGTAGGTGTTCTCACCTTGTTGTGCACCTTAGTTGTTTTAGAAATGAAATTCTCAGTGGTCAAAAGGGGCTGGCGTTGTAGCCCACAGTGAAAATACCGAGTCCTGTCAGGCCATCTAGCCATTATTGAGATAGCTGCACAGACACAAATGAGACTAGTGTGGTTGAATGGTGATCTCCACAGACTTTCCCATCCCCTAAAAATTTTTAAGCTGGTTCATTCCATCTTGTGTCAGCTAAGTTCATGCTGGGTGTCCTGTGGATATGGGGGTAGTTGGTCTGCTGACACTGTGCTCTGCACACTAGGGTCCTCAGATCCATTGGGGTAGATGAACAACATCCCACAGATATACATCCCACCAGGGAAAAGCCCTGTGGGTCTTCTGAGCTGCCAGTGGGTGGACCTTTCTCAGACATCTCTATCCCTTTTTGGATCTGGGTGTTTTGTCCAGCAGGGGTGTGCAGGCCTGAAGGACTAGRGGAGAAGTAGGGACAGCTGTGGATCTTCAGGATCAGATGTGGGAAGAAATGGACTTTTACATTTTCTGCGGAACTTCCAGGGTTAGAARGGGTGGCTGGAAGTGGCTTTCTGGTCAGTCAAGTGAAAAAGCTGATCCTCCATGAGGTCAGTATGTAGGATCTCTGCCTAGCRAGGTTGTGAGATAAGTGGTAAGGGAAGCAGCACGTTAGGAGGCCAACCGTAGGCTTAGGACAGAGTCTTCTGGGGCTAGGAGTTATCCTCTGGGGCCACCATCCCAGTCCCACCCTCTTAGGCCAACGTGAGAGGGAGCGTGAGAGGGAGTGATGACTGACTAGACAATGACTGACCGGACTCAGCAGGGCTGTGCCTCCTGCCCGCCTCTTCCCCTTCTCCCCAGGTTGCAGCTCCTCCTCTTAAAGGGGCCCATAGAACTCCYTGGGCCCTGGCTGAAACTTGGAGGGAGTGACGCTTTAACAGTGTCTGGTGTCACTCCTCTTGTGCCCGCCCCCTGACAGGCCAAGTAGCTGGAACTTGAGCCCCGCCCGCYGTGAGGCTTCTGAGTGGAGCTGGAGCCAGTCAGAGGCCAGAGCCTGGATGCCGGAGCATTGCCCACCTGCCGGTGAGCCCACAGGAGCTACAGGTGACTGCAGGTGACCAGCCCTGGAAGCCATAAGTGACTGGCAGCAGTGAGCAGTGTCTCAGGGAATTTTCCTACCCTGTCCTGACTAACTCTGATGACTGCTTCCTACCCGGGGTGGGAGTGCCCTTCTAGCACTTTCGGGGCTGCCAGTTGGCTCTAGTTGCTGTGAAAGATGGGGCCCCGTAGGCCTGAGGACCCCGTCCAGATAGTCTTGATCAAGTTGTGGCCTTTCCTGTCCCCCAGGSAGGTCACGGGGCCCAGGCTGCATGAGCTCACTTCCTCCACATCCTGTGTTATCTCCTGCCTGTAGCTGCAGGGTGGGTAGTAAGGGAAATGCTGGGAACTGTTTTCCAGTGCCTGGTGCCCTAGYATATTTCCTCAGTTCTGCCTCCTAGGGCTGGGGCACTGGGTACCTGAGGAAGAGGGAAGCTGCCCTGTTCCTCAGAAAGGCCCATAGGTGTTGAKGCTTGTCACTGTGTCACCATCCAAGGGCTAGAGAGAGGGTGTTGTGTTGCCTTTTTTCAGAGCCTTTTTCCTTACAGGTTCCATAGGTGTTTCTTTTCTTTGGGAAATTAAAGAAGATCCCACTTCTACTCCTTCCCCTTCCTTGATCCCCCTGGGCCACTGACWCTTATAACAGGTGCCTCTGGGCCCCTCTGTTTGCCCCCTCTTCTCTTGCTCTTGGCTTTCCAAAATGTCTCACCCTTTTGTCMAGGGAGAATACATTTTCCCATCCCCTATGCTTGTGAAGTTCTGTCCACATCTAGCCCTGAAATGTGAGGGAGGAGGGCGTGGCTACCTCACTGGACACAACTGCCAGATGAACTGGGGAAGAAGTGGTACCAGGCCTCCAGAGTAAGGGAGTGTACAGAAAGTAGATGGGTAGATATATGGTAGATAGGTCATTTGGAGCACTGGAGGTTTGTCCTGAGGCTTTAGGAAGGAATGACCCTAGCCCCAGGGAGATTTCCACCAGGGAGCAGGAGCCAGTTCTCAGGATGTCTCTGRCCAGAAGGCTGAAGCTGCAAAGCCCCATGTGGTCAGGGAGAGCTTTGGGAAGGTGGTTGACTGGCATTCCCATTCCCCTCACTGCCTGCCCTTCCAACCCAGGCTTCAAATTGGAATCCACCAAGGTCTGAGCTAACCAGGTCAGGAACAGCTGTGCACACCTAAATCACCCAGGTTCACACATGTGCACATTTCCACATAATGCCTATACTCTCCCATCCATGCCCACAGTAACTGATAACTGGCCTAGGCCATTCAGCCAGCTTCGGTTGGAATGTTCCATTCCACTAGGGAGTGGGGAGGCAGTGAGGTGATAGTGCTGCTCAGGTATATGCCCTCAGGATAGTATGTCCTCCACCTACTCCCACATGGTTGTATTAATCATGCTTCCTATCCCTTTTGGGCTTCCCTTTCTGAACTGCTCTAAGCCCCTGCTTGCCCTTTATCAACGTTTGACCTCCTAGAGTGCAGATTTGCCTTTCAGGAGCTACAGTCGAACTATCAAGAAGCCTGGGAACAAGGGTAGGAGTGAGGGCTTCTGAGCAGTTGTTCTAGTCCATGGTTGCAGCTGTGCTGTGAATCTCAAGGGAAGTAGGTGAAAGATACTTTCCTTCCCATTTCTGAGATGAAGAAACTGAGACCCAGAGAGCACTTGTGACTTGTCCTGCTTTCTGCAGCTCTTGGGGTGAATTTGGGGGCAGGGGGCAGGCAGGATTACACTGACCAGATTGTGGCCTACCACAAAGCCCTCTGAGTTCTCACATTCTAGGTGACTGGCCTTTAGGCCATATAATACCTTTAAAAGTTCCACTCATCACAGTCAGAAACTCACCTCCACAGAAAAGTGCTTGACTCTCAAAAGGGAGGGAAGGTGTCAGCACTTCCCTATCTCAGGGCTCCTTCCTTGCGCAGTTCCTCATCTAGGGTCTGAGCACTCAGGGGCCAGGGAGGGTGAAATCTCTGGCTTGGGGCCCAAAGGTTGTTCCAGGTAGAGGGCAAGTGGGACTCTTAAATGGGGAGCTGGAAACACTGCTGGCCAAAAAGTTGCTCTGCTTTGGGAAGTGGGAAGGCAGTAATAATTTGGAAAGACAGTGCCTGTTTGTTGGGGGACAAATAAGTTTATTCTGCTCCCTTTGGGAACTTTCAGATGAAGGAACTCTAATACCCTGGTCTGAGTGTACCATTTTAGAAGAAGAAGTAGAATAGTGATAAAGATAAGGACCTTCTGCCTGTCCCTTCCCTGGTGGTGGGCCAGTGCAGATTTGGTGTCTGGATTCTAAGGCAGCTTTTAGAGTCCCTACAGGGAAGAATGTCTCTCCTCATGCTGTTCTCCTTGAGCTTCCTCCTCTGTAGCAAGAGGAACCTGGGCCTGCCCCACTTCAGTGTGCCATCCAGCCTGACCAGACTCCTGGCTTTGTAGGTCTCCAGTCTAAAGTATCCTGGAAGGAAGGCCTGACTGGTCCTCCAGAGCTGTAGAGAATGAAATGGAAGGTTCCCACAGGAGTCAGAACTTGTGGACTTTGACCAGGTTTAATTTTCATGCTTGTGCCTTTCTGACACATTCTGTGCTGTCATGGTTAGGATACCATATGATAGGTCAGTGAGGGAAAACTTGGCAAGAGGCTGAGACTTCTGGGTCTTCTCCTTTTCTCCCATCCCACAAGATTACACTTGCCTCCCCATGAATCCTGGGTGTGCTCAGCTCCTCTGCTCCTAGTCTGTACTTTATAGAGCAGGGAAAGAGCCACCTCTGTAGATCTAGGTACCAGTCTCATGCCAACTGCCCATCCTCTCCTTGGGCCTGTTTCCCTGTCCAGTTTGAAGCCTGTGGGCCAGGGAGGATACTTGTGTGCCCAGTTCCATGGCAGAATAGTTGAAGTGACTTTACCATTGTGGATGGGAATGTTATTGGGAGGCTCACATGAGCCTGAGACAGAAACAGGATGTCCATGGAACCCTGGGCCTGGTGCTTAGGACAAGATGGGGCTCCCAGGTTTGTGTTGATCTGGTGCTAGCATCTCTCCAAGGAGGAGGCTCAGGTACACTGTTTGCTGGGTGAGGCCTGGCCCAGCCTACAGTAAGCTGTCCTTCCCACTCAAGAGTGGGTCTGGGAGAGAAAGGCACCTTTGGAGAGGGGGTRAGATTGGACCAGGCCTCGCCATTTGTTTTATCAGGAGGAGAAACCCATTCTATGTCCAGACCTTAGTTGCCTTGTTGTTCCACCTCCCAGAGGACACTAGCTTACCAGAGGCTTTTGTGGGCAGGTGTCAGGGATGGAATTTTTATGTGTCTGGCTGAGGTGGGTTTGTTAGGGCAGCACATGTTCATCCTTGTGTGGATAGGGTGACACCTGAGTTGGGGCCTTTCCTCTTTAAGTGTTACAGTGTGTTGGCCATGCCAGCTGGCCCTTGCTTGGGTCTATTCTCTGCTTTAGGCAGGAGCTCTTGAGGCCTGCATTCTTCCATTCAAAGATGGTGACAGGAGCCTGTTTCCTTCCAGGGCTGTGGTTGAGACTGGAGCTGAAAAGATGTGGGTTCCCAGTCAGCCCATGTCAGCCCATGTCAGCCCACCTCGGACWACCTCCCTGGGACTTTGAGCACCTTGATTGCCCTGAGCTGAGATGGCAACAGCTGTGGAATGTTTGTTCTTCTAGTCCTGTTATCTGTGTAGTGGGAAGGGTTTTCTCAGGTGAGGTATGTCCTGCAGATAGTCAGGGAGGGGCCTGGCCAAAGTGCTTTTCTGAAGCAAAGATGGAAAAAGCAGAGTGGTATGGGCTTCAGTCCTGGCCACTTTCCAGCCCCAGGTTGGTTTTCCCTGAAGCCCACCCAGGTACACAGTTTTTGAGGAGGCTTGGATAGGGTCACAGCCAGGTATGGGGGCTCTGAGACTAAGAAGGGTGAGGAGATAGCCAGAGCAGACTCACGCTTAGGTTGTTACCATGGTGCTTTGTCTGCTTGCCTGATCCTCTTGCTCCTCAGACGCTACTTTGTAACCTGAATCAAAAATGGGTCAGGTCCTGGTGAGGGAGGAGACTCTGCCTTGAGCTCGGGGCTCAGATTCCCACCTGTACTCTTGGGGCCTAGAAGCCCTGGCAGCCTCCGGTCCCCTGTCTGCCATGGTTCGCTGGAGCATGAAGCCCCAGGGCCTTGCATACATGCTGCCCTCCTGGCAGAGCTAAGGGAGTGGGTGAGCTGGGCAGACTGGCTTAGCCCAAGGCAGGAGGGACCAGACAGGTGGCCATACCCTGTGGGACTGAGTGGGCTGAGTGCAGGGGCTTCTGCTCTGGGCAGAAGCCTGAGCAGGTGTGACAAGTGCTTGTCTGTTTGCAATAGCTCTGACCCTCTAACCTGTGCTCTGTGAGCCACCGAGACTGAACCAAGTGGCGAAGCTACACCACCAGCCAGCAGTGCCCCTGGAGCAGTGACAGCACAGGAGATTCTCTGGCGTGGGGGGAAGGGGAGGAAGGAGGAAAAACAAAGGCGAGTGAACGAGCAAGCGAGCGAGCGAGCGCAGAGAGCCTTGCACCGCCCTCCCTGTGCCTGCCCACGATGTGTCAGTCAGAGGCGCGGCGAGGACCAGAGCTCCGAGCAGCAGCGAAATGGTGAGATGCTGTCCAACGCGTCCTAACCCCACTGTTCCCCGCCACAACCTCCGGAAGGTCAGAGTTCATGTCCAACGGCCCCGAAGTGGAGGTGGCAGCAGGGGGCCCCGGGGCCAGCCCCCACAGCTGGAGGGACCCAGCGAGGGGGGCCTGAGCGCACTGAGTAAGAGAGCTCGCTTCAGGTACCTGCGGTTAGGGTTGCAAGGAGAGCTCAGAGGTGGGTGGGGTGGGGGTGGGGATCAGTCACCTGGCTTTGGAACTAGTGTCTTGGTCTTTATTCAGAGATGCCTGAGAGAAGGGGCTTTCCTGTAGCTCTTCCAGGATTGGTCTCTGCTCTTCTGCAGTGAGCAGGGCGGGGGAACCCTGTGGGAGAGCAGTGATTTGTTTGTCTTTGCTTGGCCCCTTCTACCTCCCTAGACTTTTAAAAAGCATAATGGAAAAAACTGTCCACAGTGGAATGGGAGAGAGAGAGAAAGCAGGGCATCAGGTGAGCTGTGGGGATACAGTTGCCTGCAGAGACTGGAGCCCTGCCTTCTATCATCTCTGATTGAACTAAGGGGCCTTCCCCTTGGCTTAGGTCTCCATTTTTCCTGCTCTTATTCTCAGCTGAGACACCTCTTTGTTCTTGGTTTGCTTAGCACCTGGGTGACAGAGAATGCAGCTTCTCTTGGAGAGTACACAGTCAGAGATGGCAACCTTAGATTGTCTATTGAATGCAGTCCTTTTGCAGATGAGGAAACCAAGGCCTGGGATTATTTTGAGTGGGTAGCAGTGTGGTCTCCTGATAGCTACACTGCAGCCTCAGAAGTATTTTCCGGGGCCTAGGTATGTGACAAAGGGACTYCGTTGCAACTAAGGAGATCAGGGTTCTGGTGGAAGAGCCCATTCCAGCCACTGCAACCCCTGCAAAGCTGAGCCTGTGCCAAATTTGTGCTGGTGGTACACTGGGGAGTGTGTATGTACCAGCTCAGATTTGCTGAAAGGAGGAACCTGTATCTTGTGTGTGGCTCTAGTAGGAAGGTGGCTTGAGAGCTTGGGGTGAGGTTCTCCCTATAAAGCTGTATATGGGTTTTGGAGAACCTAACCTGCTGGAGAAAGACTATGCAGGCTGATGGAGCTACAACTTTAGATCTTGGCTGGCCCAGTCCTTTCAATTTACCAGATAAGGAAACAAGAGGCCTGGAGCCATGAAGAGATTTTTCCCAGGTCCTGTAATGGGCAAAAGACTCATGAACAGTCACCTAGATGACCAGGTCAAAGCACTATGCACTGCTATGCTGATTAACTCTGTCCTTCTGGTCCTTGTGTGGGCAGAGCTGTGCCTGAGTCCCATGCTTATTGGCCATGGGAAGCTGGCAAATATGAGGCAGGCCTTGTACCTCCCTTCCCCATTTTTGCCCCAAAGGTTCTTTCTGGAGCCATTTCCAATTTCAGATACTCAATCTTCTCAGATACCCAGGAATTGGGTCTAACCCTCCTCCATCCTATAGCTTCCCAATCCTAGTCCTCAGCTAGCTGTCAGGTGGGAAAGACTGGGAAATATGTCTGTTATACGGTGGTATCCAGGTCCCCAAGGGGATACTGCAGTGCTTATTGGACTCTGGTGCTCCATGGAGAGGCAGTGATCAAGGGGGGGGGTCGTTCCTGGGTCCCTCTGAGACCCCAGCTTCTGACTCTGCATGGACATGTGCCCTGCAGGTTGCACTTCCCCCAGCTGGCCCTGCGAAGGAGGCTAGGCCAGCTGAGCTGCATGTCCAGACCTGCTTTGAAACTGCGCTCCTGGCCCTTGACTGTTCTCTACTACCTCCTGCCCTTTGGTGCTCTCAGGCCACTCAGCCGGGTGGGATGGAGGCCTGTGAGCAGGGTAAGTGTGCACAGGCCTCTGTGGCCCAACCCCTACCCCTAGGCAGGCCTGAGGTTGGGGTACAAGAGAAAACAAGGGGACCGGTTGTCAGAAGTAGAGGCATGGCTGTACCCTTTGGGGGTATGGTATGGGAAATTTCGTAGGGAAGACAAAGGCAACTTTTGAGAAGGCCAGGTTAACCAGTGGCCATGTGTACTGTAGTAAGGTGACTGAACACTCATTGTCCACTGCCTGCTATCCTTGCTTGCCTCACTGGTGCTATTAGGGAGCTCTGGTTCTGGGCAGTCAGAAATTAGCGTCTCTGACTTTCAAGCTTATAAGCAATTTTTAGGAAGAATCCAGATAAATTTCTGGATATCAGAGGGTAGTTCAGGAAGGCTGGAGCCTGTTTGGGCCCATTAGTGGGAGGACACACTTGAAGGCTGTGCAAGTCAAGTGCCTGCCCTGCACAGGACTCTTTAATGGGTACCTGGAGGGCTCTCTTGCTTCCTGGCAGACCAGCCCCAAGGAGGAGTCCCTGTTCCTGGGCCATTGATAACTTGGGGGTGGGCATCATGAAAATTTGAGGGTGTTGCAGTACACTGGACATTAGACCAGGCTCCAACCTGTTCCTGAGAATAGCCTGGCATTACAGCAACCCAGGGTCAGGCATTACAACCATTACAACCTAGTCACTCCAGGTGGCTAGGCATCACTTGGAAGGGGAAAGAATAATGCTCAGGGAACTAGTAATTCACTACTTCATAAAGGTATTAAAAGTTGGTAAAACTGATTTTTACACCTTAGGAAGTTGCTGCCTGGTTGCATCCAGATAAGTAGTAGCAGCAGTCAGAAGCAGTTTCCCCTGGGGCAGTGGCCCCTTAGGTTTAGTGGCCCTGCAGGAGGGCTCTGGGGCCCCATTGTGTGGGACTGGCTCCAAAAAGTGATTCCCCTCTGCCTCCTGGGAGACCACAGGTAGGCAGCTCTGTGGACTGGCTTAGGCACAGAATGCTTCTGATGCAAGGTCTGCTGTCAGGCCCAGTGGAGCCCAGCAGGACAGGCCATCTTGAGTGCTGGCTAGGCCTGAAGGGCATCTCGGGACACTATGATATTGATATAGTACATGCATCTGAAAAATGTCCTCTTTTCCTTTTAAGAAAGAGGATATACACTTTGGGCTATAGATCTGTCTGTGCTTCTGGGAATCTTTTACTCCTTTCTCAAGTGGTCTGCAGTGTAGGCAATGACCCCAGCCAAAGTCAAATGCCTATTGCCTCCTGCCAGTCTTCTCCAGACTATTACCAGGATTCCTATCTCCCATTTTCTCTTCCTTTCCTGTTTTTKGGGGATGGGGTACTGGAGATTGAACCTAAGGGTGCTTAACTGCTGAGCCACGTCCCTGCCAGCCCTTTTTATTTTGAGATTGGATCTAAGTTGTTTAGGGCATCTCTTAAGTTGCTGAAGCTGGCTTCAAACTTAGGACCCTCCTGCCTCAGCATCCAGAGTTACTGGGATTATAGGCATGAGCCATCCACTCCTGGCACCACCTCTCACTTTTAAGAAGTGAGACTATGTGGACCAGTCTACTTTTCTGGGACKAAGACAGTTACTCTTTGACCTGTGCAAAGTGATTAAAGTGACCTGAGCTCTGTACATCCTGTCTTCAGTCTGTGAGAATATTTGACAAGTGCAGTCTGGTTCCTAGTGACACAGCCACATCATAACAATCAGCCCCAGGCAACTAGGCCTCCCTAGGTAGCCTCTGTTGGTTCAAGTTCTCTCCTGTGGTTGGGGGATGATGACAGTACTAGGGCTTTTTGGAGTATGGTCAACTCAGCCCCCTACCCTGTGGCCTGCAGGTGGCCCTGTACAAGTCAGTGCCAACACGTTTGCTGTCACGGGCCTGGGGTCGCCTCAACCAGGTGGAGCTGCCGCACTGGCTGCGCAGGCCTGTCTATAGCCTGTACATCTGGACCTTCGGGGTGAACATGAAGGAGGCTGCTGTGGAGGACTTGCACCACTACCGCAACCTCAGTGAATTCTTCCGGCGCAAGCTGAAGCCACAGGCCCGGCCTGTCTCTGGGCTGCACAGTGTGGTGAGGTTTAACTCATACCTCCTCCTCCTCCTTTAGGAAATGGTTATCTATATCTATGGAAACCAGGTGCAGCAGCCCCCACTGGCTGTGGCCTCTGTGTGGCTTTCCCAGACTCTGTCCCACCTGCCGTATAAAGTTTATTTGTCCTGCATATCCAGAGGGTGGAGCTATGGGTGTTTGACACAAGATGAGGTGGGTGTCAACTAGGGGGAGCACTCTCCCCTTCCAGCAGCAAACCTCTCCTGGTCCCTCCAGATCAGCCCATCGGATGGGAAGATCCTCAACTTCGGGCAGGTGAAGAACTGTGAGGTGGAGCAGGTGAAGGGGGTCACTTATTCCTTGGAGTCATTCCTGGGCCCTCGCACCTACATGGAAGACCTGCCTTTCCCACCAGGTGGGTTACTGCACTGTTGGGGCTGGAGCAGACACCAGAGGCTAAGGAAAGGCTTGGGAGACTGTGGGGTGGGCATGCTGGCACATTGGATCAGGAATCCCTCTGACCAAAGCCTTGAGGCTCTTGGAGTCCATGTCCAGGCTGCACATAGGCTGTGCTGGATTCTCATGAGCTGGGTGGCACCTGGAGCTGGTATTAGAGCCTGACCCTCTTTTCTGCCCTACCCCACAGCCTCTTCATGTGACTCCTTCAGGAACCAGCTGGTTACCCGGGAAGGGAATGAACTCTACCACTGTGTCATATACCTGGCCCCTGGGGACTACCACTGCTTCCACTCCCCCACTGACTGGACTGTCTCCCATCGGCGCCACTTCCCAGGTAGACACAGGACTGGCCTTTGGGTTGGAGCTGCCTCKGTGGGCTTCATGCTGAGGTCTTCACTTTCTTAATGTTAGGGGACTAGGCTCCAGGCTGGGGTTATCTAGACCAGGGGTTAAACACTTAAGGTTGGCTGGGTATGGGCAGGGGACTTTGGAAAACCGGTCTGCATTTGGAATGACATCAGGGCAACAGGCCCATTAGTCCCTTTGGGTCTCAGGCCATCCTGGGGTAGACATACCAGGCTCTGGGGAAGGACTATCATGTTCCCTATCCCCACAGGCTCCCTGATGTCAGTGAACCCTGGCATGGCTCGATGGATCAAAGAGCTCTTCTGCCATAACGAACGGGTAGTTTTGACAGGAGACTGGAAACATGGCTTCTTCTCGCTGACAGCTGTGGGGGCCACCAACGTGGGCTCCATTCGCATCTACTTTGACAGGGTAAGCAGAGCCCAGGCCATGCCAAAGTCCACAGGCTGCACTTCTTGAATTCACTTGCTCCATCTGCTGTGCAGCCAGATCCACTGGGCCTGTAAATTTTAGGAGGGCCTTRCTTGTACGAGAGCTAAAACCAGGCCTGGCTATACTGAGCATCCACTCTGAGGGGCATCCCTATCAGTTAAGACCTCCTTCTCTCCTTCCCTCCCACCCACTTTGCTGCCACTCATTYCTCTGGAAGTGGCTGGGGAGGAGAGAGGAAATTAACCTTTCTGCCTGGCCCTTTACTTTTACTGGGAACCATGGTTGAAGTGTGAGGAAGGAACAGGAATGAGTCATGCCAACTGAGGGTTGAGCATGTAGGCAGAGCTGGCCTGAATGAAGAAAGAATTTGGTGCCCACCTGCCCAGGGCTTGCCTTTTTGGGTGTGCCCGACTCCCCACCACTGGCTGCTGACCTTGTACCATTCCARCTGGGAGAAAAGTCAGATCTGATTTCTCCATGTCCCTCTTAGCCACAGTTCATAGCAGGTGCCAGGACTTTGGTGTGATCTGGTTGGACTAAGCTCCCCAACCCYGAGATATTGTCCCCATCACCCTTCTTGAACTGGGCTGGATGGTGGTGAGAATGAGCAACAGGATTCCAAACACAGGCAGGAGTGGTACCCCTTGCTTCTGGGCCCCCTTCAATCCCTGCYCCATTACTCCTCCCCAGGACCTGCACACAAACAGCCCAAGGTACAGCAAGGGGTCCTACAACGACTTCAGCTTTGTGACGCACACCAACAAAGAGGGAGTCCCCATGCGCAAGGGTGAGCATCTGGGCGAATTCAACTTGGGCTCCACCATTGTGCTCATCTTCGAGGCCCCCAAGGACTTCAATTTCAGGCTGAAAGCAGGGCAGAAGATCCGTTTTGGGGAGGCATTGGGCTCCCTCTAGGTCTTCCTTCTGCCTACAACTGCCAATGCATCTAAGGGAACTAAGGGTCTTTTATAGAAGCCCCCAGGGGTGTCTAGGCAAGGGAATCACCTCAGGTGTGTGTGGGAAGGTCGATCCAGTAGAACCTGGATGATTTGCTACTGCCTGTCCCAGAGGTGCAGACAAAAGATTCTGAATCCTCACGAGGCAGCCAGAACCAGTCATGCCTGCGACCTACMCTTCAGAGAGAAAAAGTATAGGTGTGGATAACCTCACAATCACATTTGGATCTTTTTTAAATGTTGTATAAACTGGAGATTCTTCTCTCCTGGTTGGTCTTGGATATTGTTAGGCGATGCTAAGTGCGAACATGCCCTCTAACCTCCCCATAACTGGAGAGTTTTGTTGGACCCTTTGGCTTTTTCTGGTCTTGTGCCTCTTGTCCCTTTACCTCCCATAGTGCACAGRATGAGCTGCCTCTTTGGCTAGGATTGTGGACCCTCCCTCCCTCCCAGAGCAGGCCACACAGACTTCATGACAACTACTTTCTGTTCCCAAAMTTGCCTCACCCAGCTTGATGGAAAAGCAAAATCTTTCTTTGCATTTGGGGCTTGACTGCATTGCTCTGGACTCTTGCCAGGATCTTCTGAGGATGGTAACTATGACACGGACCTTTGTAGGCCCTGAGGAATGACCTTCCAGAGCTTCCTTGCAGCAGGCAAGGCCAGTTACTGTCCCACCTGGTGGCTAGGCTGAATGGGGCAGGCAGGAGGGGTAGAAGCCTAGTTTGAGCTGGCATCACTGTTTCCAGATCCAGCTCTACATGAAGTATGGGAAATTGCTGTTGTTCCAAGGACTGTGTYGGAGGCTAAAAGTGTATGGTGGGTCAGTACTAGAAAACCTGTCCCAGGTGACAGGTATGTAGGCCTTGAGCAGTGGTGGGGACAGTCAGGTTACCTGTTGATCCTGTGAATTTCTCCTCCAGGGGAAGTCATTGAATTTTTTCAACTGTATCAGTAGCACAGTATTTTTGTATGAAAAGTGGGAGACTTCTGAACAGTAATTCATTTAATTGCAAGACATTTTGAAATAAAAAGCTTAAAAACTCATTGTAGCTTTGCATTGTTCCTGGAGGCGGCTTGAGGCCTCCCCTGCAGCAGGGCTCCTGTCTTCCTGGGGTGAGCCCACTAGCACAGAGCCTGCCGCAGGGCCTGGATGCGCTCAACGCAGGTATTGATGTGTTGGCGCTGGGCCTGGAGCTCCTTGTCCAGCTGCTGGATCTGTAGTTCTATCTGGGGGTAGGGAGAAAGAGGCCCAGCTGAGAGGGAGCACAGTCTGGGGGACTGTCCCTGGAGATGGTCTAGGGTCTCACCTCTTCTAGTTCTTTCTGCACTCGTTGCTCTTCATCCTGGTCCTCAGGCCTGGGCTCTTCCTGGCTCAGCTCCAGCCACCTACGCAGGCTACTTGCTTGTCGCTGGCAGGACCTGATGGGGACACCCTGCCCGCTTGGGTCTTTTTTCTCTTGGGTTCTGGAGATTGAACCCAGGGGTACTCTACCAACTGAGCTACCTTTTTTTTTTTGGAGACGGGGTCTCACTATTGGTGTGACACCGACGCTGGCCTCAAACTTGTAACCCTCCTGCCTCAGCCTCCCAAATAGCTGGGATTACAAGAGTGCACCACCACTCTTGGCTCGAGTTTGGATTCTTGGCAGTCTTCTGATGTGAGGATGGGTTGGAGGGAGAAACTTCTGGAAAGGCTCCCTTCTCTGAGCTGCAGGCCCTGGCTTGGGAGGCCAACACTTTTTTTCTCTCCCAGCCTTCTATGACCTTCCATGACCTTCTATAGCAAACAGCAACTCTTCCTATTCCTCTTTCCCAGTGATGAGCTATGAACAAGGGGACCAGTCTGTTTTCCTCACATTTCTTAAACTGCTGCATATTGACAATCCCCAAACCATTATGGGCAGATGAGACCCAGGCCTACCCGTCCTCTGATACCTTATCAGCTTTACAATCACATCCCCCTAGAGAAGAAAGCCAGAACCCAACCAGGACCTGTGTCCCACAGCAAGGCCATCTTGGGTTTTCCCAAGCAGGACTAATTGGGGGAAATGTGCTACAGCGAGACACGTTCCTGGTAACACACACTGGTTTGGCCCCTACCACACATTTGTGGGTCCTGGCATCTGGCTGGCAGGAAATGGAACCTTCTGCCTTCCCAGGCCACACCTTTTCTTAAGGACAGGTCCAAGGGTACATCCCCCAGGCCTCACCAAAGGTTCTGTTTGGTGTTCTGGTAGTGCTGTAATTGCTGCTGGATCCCYTCCAGTTCAGTCTCAAGGTTGTTGTGGCCTGTGACAACAGAATGAGCTTTCCATCTTCTCTCTGGGACCACGACAGGTGGCCACTCCAAGGTGAGTGCCCATAGCCCTGGCAGGCCCCTGGTACTCACCTGCACTTCCAGAACCAAGCCCAGGCCCAGCCTTGATGCCTGTGAAGTCCCCAGGCAGGAGCAGATGGGAATCAGGGCCACTGGCCAGAGATGGGGGACCCTGGGGCTTAAGYCCAGTGTTGGTGGGCTGTTTTAACACCTGTAAAGGAAAGGAGGATGCTGACAGTAAATCCTCTTCTCCCTGTCTCACTCACTACCTGCTGCCCACTCTACCCCACGGGAGTCAGGGTGCCTAGGCCCTGTCCCTTTCCCTGCCTGCTGGACCTGACATAATTGGTCAACCTCCACACCTTTACAGTGCCACCCCCCTGCATGAGAAGCTTCTTAGCACTATCAGCAGCAGACATTTCAAGCCTGGCTTGGCCTTCTATCCCCACCTTGCTCTGRACTTCTGACCTTGCTAAACTTGGATTTCAGTAACAACAGTGGTYACAGGCAATTGTTCTCCCTGTTTCACCCACACCTGCCTCTACTCTCTCCCATGAAGAGTAGAAGAGTAGACATGCACCTTCTATCATTGCCAGTCATGGAARACCACCCTCTGAACCGCCCCCACCCCCAGCCACAGGGTTGTGACACACCACAGGGTTGTGACACACAAGAAGTGGCTCTATCCCCACCCTGCGCCTTTTGGGCACCAGCTTCTTGGGTGGCCTGACCCTGAGACTGTCACTTCTACTATACCCTCTGGTGCTCTCAGTCCTAGCTACTTGTGTCAAGGTTCTCTACATAAGCCTTCTGCCCCACTCTATGCTCTCTCAGTGGTTCCCAGGGTTCACCTTCAACCTCTGCTGAGGACTTCCAATCTAGATTTCAGTCCCTGACCTCTTTCCCGAAGGCCAGACAATCTRGCTTTCTCTCAAATTTGACAGGGTAAAAAGGGACTCTTGGTGCTTCACCTGAAACCAAGCCCCATCCTATTTTTCTTCTTTTAGAACTCATCYCTCCCCTAGTTAACTCAGGCCAGAAACCTATATCATCCTCCCCTCCCTTCTCACATCCACCAAAGCAGGTCCTGTCTAGACCCACATTTTCATCCCCACAGTGTTTGGCCTCAGCATCCAGGCCACTGCAACCTGGATCACATAGCTCCTAGTAGCCCAAATACATAGCACCAAAAGGAACCCAGGTTAAAAAAACTTCTTCCTCTTCCCAAATTCCAAACTTTCCAGTATGACCAGCCTGACCCATAGGATCTGTGGTCACTCTATGGGTCTGTACACAAGATTCTTTTGGTTGTCCTGTTGTGAGAACAGAAGCTTCTGAAGAATAGGGACCTTGGCAGGCTATTGGCTGCTGTATTCCTTGGATCTGAAGTACAGAGGTACCAACATTTGGTAAATAAATGGAACCTCCCCATGTCCTTCCATACCAGCGTGTTCCAAAAACAACAAATACAGCTGTAGCTATAGCACAAGGGCACCAGGAAGAGAACCAAAGACTAGACCAAAGAATGGGAGGATGGTCTGGTGGTGGACTCACCCTGGTCAATGCTTCCACCCGATAGGGCATGAAGGGGGAAGGAGGCAGTAGTTGTTCTGGACTGGGACTTGCCACAGTGGGAAGCTTTGAGCAAGGGGCACAAGGCAGGACCCCAGGAAGGAAAGGCCTCRTCAGGGAAGGGTGTGCAGGCTGAGCCCCATCTTGGCCCTGTTCCTGAGGCTTCTCAGGCCTAAGCAGAGAGAAGACAGGAAGCTGATAAGGCCATGGAATCTTTCTTAGTTTCTCTGAAGATCAGGAAGGAGAGGGGGCTACCTAACATAGGACCTCCAAAACACAGGCCCCAGATGAAGGTGTAGCTGCTCTGAGTGGCCCATAACCACATAACGTACCCTTGCCCCCTGAGGGGGACACACCCCCAAGATCTCTGGCTCTGCATGGGCTCCAGCAAGAAGTGTGGGCGTCGGGGTTGCTTCCTCCCCAAGCGGGCAGTATGGCTGGAAAGAAACATGGGTCTGTACCTTGGGCAAATGGGGGCTGCCAGGGGTCTGAGGTCTCAGGGGGAGGGGGAACCAACCTCTCCAGTGTTACAGGGGAGACTGAAGGTTACATAAGACAAGGCTCTGGCCTGAGGTCAGTAAGTATGTGTGGTGACCCTGGGCCTGATAAAATTCTGTATTTTCTATGAATCCCCATGCTTCGTGCTTCACCTGCACTTCTTTTGGCTTGTGCAGRAATTCTGGTGTCATGGGTGCTCTTCCACATCATAGGAGGTATAGCCTCTGACACTGAGGCTGTCAGTGTGGAGCAGAGAAGAAGGCAGAGCAGAGATGCACTCCACCTACTCAAGATCAAGGCTCTTAGGTAGCACTGGTCACTCTGGGAGATGACAACTSCCTTAGGAGCAGTGTAGGTATAGGGTTTGGGGATACCATCCAGGGAAATGGCCAAGGGGCAGGTGCCAGTCACAAAAAAGTGTTTCTGATGGAACCAATTTCCCCACTATAAAAGAGGGGAGATTAGCAGGCCTGGTACCAGGGGAAGGGACACCCATTTATTGAGGGAAAAAAGAAGGGTCTAGAAGCCTCTGTTTTCTCTCCCATGCTCTGGGAGGGATGGGATCATGATGGAAGGGAGGGGAGCTCAGCTACGACAAGGTCATTACTGGCTCATCCCTTACCCTCCCAGGGCCCAGTTTCCTCCCTCCTGTACATCCCAGCTTTTGCTCAAGGTAGACATGAGAAGGAAGAGGTATGGGTAGGACACTCACAGCTCCAGGAGGTGGGGCTCCCTGACAGCCAGCGGTAGGCTGCCCAGGACTCCCTGAGGTTGAGGAGTTGGCGGCCTCTTCGTCTCCAGGAAGGTATCCCCAGCCCCAATAGCAATGTGATCAAGAGGGGAACCCTCAAAAGTCACTCTCCTGCTGGTTATGATGGGCACAGGAGGYCGAGACTCCTTGCCCGAGGCCAGGGCCTTCTGTTTCCAGAGCTCAGCACAGTGGCAGACTGCACGGTGAAGACTGTGAGCTGCCTGCAACACAGCTTCTCATTAGTTTCTACTGTCCCCTCTCCACTGTTCAGAAGAAGGGAGCCCTACACCTACCTGGACCTGCTGCTGGGCTTGCAGCTGCTGCCGGGAGGCCTTCATGCTGGCTGTGAAACGCAGGAGCCGTGTGGCACCCTCTTGGAGGAGCTGCTGGTGGTAGGCCTGTACTGCCCGCTCTAGCCGCACCTTCTTCCTCCTCCTTTCCAGCACAAAGCCCAGCCATGCAGCCCAAGTCTTCAGGGAGGGCAACAGGTGAGGACCAGGCCTCCCTCTTAGGGCTCTCCCATGACCCAGGCAACTTCCCCCCACCCATGGCAGGAATGGCAATATGAAGAACCCCAGTTACCTTTGCCTGTAGGGAGAAGGACCAGAACCATAGGGCTCGTGCTGTACTTTGCTGTTCCTGTCTCCTGGCCACCAGCTATGGTCCAGAAAAACTGGGTTATTCAAAGGGGCCACTCTGACCACATGGCCCTGCTTTCACTTTGCCTTGCTCATCACTGTGTAACCAAGGCTTCCACCAGGAAGAGCCCAACCCTGGGCCTGACTGTG